CTGGTGCACAAGATGAGCCAGGGTTAGGGTCCAGAGGGGGGCTTGCACAGGAAAGAACAGCCTTGCCTCCCTCCTGCCTCTGTTCCCACTCACCCACAAAGGTCGGCAGGGACCCAGGGCTGCAGGGTCTGAAAACATCCCACCAAAAGCAGCCATAGTAGGTAGGACATAAAACCAAGCCCCCAACCCTAGGTCAGCTGAAAGACCACCCCCCCCCCAAAAAAGGAGGCAGGTATACTGAACACCTTGGCCCACCCAAAAGAATGGCTCCAGCCACGGATGGGCAGCAGCCGCTGCAAGGGACCATTTCCTCAGGCCTTCCTTTCCTTTCCTTCCCCGTCTCTCTGCCCTCCTTCCCTCCCTGCCTCCCCTTTATTCCCTCTTGCTTCTCAGTCTTGCCTCTTCTCTCCTTCTCTGGCTGGCTCCCTCATTCTTTCCGTTTCCCTAGCAACGCTCCTCTCAGCTTGGTGGTTTGGTCCTGCTGCTGCCTCTCTTATCTCTCCCTTTTCTCTTTCATCAATCTCCTGATCTCCTTCTGTATTCCAGTGCCCCCCATCTCTCCCTCCCTGCCCCCCTTTCCTTCCTTCATCTCCTCTAAGGTCCCATCACTATTTGCAGGTGAATCAGAGTTAGGGAAGCCCTTCTGCCCCAGAGCAGCAGAGTCCTCTTAAACCCCCAGCCTTTGTAGCAGCCAAAATGGAGCGTCAAAATGCCCAAAAGGATCTAGGCAATTTTCCAAGCAGGCAGCCTCTCCCAGCTGGCTCCAAATGAAATCTCAGGGGCTGCCACCTATGCCGACACATGCACCATCTCATAAGCCAACTGGGTTGGGGAAAGGTGCCTCCCTTCCCATACAGGTCTCGCCTCCTCCAAAGTTGACTTTAAACCTCCCCTCTTACAGGCCAGGTTCATTTAACACTTGCACCTGTACAGCAGGTGTCTTCCTAGCAGCAAGGATGCACATCGCCAACAGATGCCCCTCAGTACTGTTAGACAGGTGCATTCATTGCCCCCATCCCTAGCATCAGGTAACAGAGCTGCCCACTACTACTACCACTTGTAGGTACCATGTTGAAGCACTGTGAGCAACTGTCAAGAGTTGTTTGAAAAGTGGAAAACCCATGCCTACTGAACAAGCCCCGTCTAAGTGCTCTCTTTTTCTTTTCCCACTCCTCTTTTTCCTAACAGGGAAACGAAGGTTATCCTTATGTTTGCAAAGAGTTAGGAATGCACAAAGTAAGTGTGCCTGATATATGTATATGTGTGCAAGAGAAGAAAAGCATGTATCCATATCCCACCTGGCTACAAGTGAAAGTCTCCTGTACCAATGTTTTTGCTATCTGACATCATGGACATGGACAAAGTTCAGCCACTAGAAGAACAAGCATTTAGGTTGCTGGATGCTGCCCTTGGACAGAGCTCGGGTGAGACCAGGAGAGTGGCCAGCACTCACCTGTCCCGCCTTCTGCAAGCCAGACCCTCCTCCATTAGAAATGCAGGCTCCTAACTCTCTTCCCAAAGCAATGTGCTATCAGCATAATAAGAGACATTCCATTATTGTGAAGGGCAGGCAGTAAGAGTGACATTGCATGGCTTTACTGAGATCTTGCATGGGATCATTCTCCACTGAAAAGAGAGACAGTGCTTACGAGCCCAATACCTAGAGCTCCCGGCTGAAGTTCCCCCCATTCCCCCTTGAGATTCTTGGGAACACCAAGAAAACCTGAGCTATCCTGAAAGCAGCACAGTGCTCTCCAGTTCCAGGTGTAGAGGTAGCAGCAACTGCTCCAACTGAAGGCATGGTGCAGACAGAGGCTGCAAAGCAAGGGTGGATAGAGTCATTCCAGAAATGAGTCTGGTCAACAGCATGGGGGGCCAAAATGGATGGTGCTGTCTGTGGTCATCCCAGGAACAAGAAGACAGAAGACAGCAGATCTACTGTCCTACAAGGACCTCCTCAAAAATCTCCCTGGTTCTCTTGCTAGAAAAAGCAACAACTTTTGCTGAAGCAAATGGAGAAAGACTTTCAAGTTCCTCCTTGCTGAAATGACTTCTCTTCCTACATGTTCCCTGTCCTCTCTGAAAATAGAAACACTATTTAAGAAGAGGCAACAAAAAAGGGAACCGAATAGAGGAAGAAGGAAAGGGAAAAAAGAGCCTCAAGGGGGTGGAGAGAAACAGAATGAAAAGAGATGAAGAATAAAGGAGGGGGGAAGAGAGAGAGAAAGGCAGGAAGGCTTTGAAAGGAGAGAATGGCTTCTAGCCTGAATAGAATGTGCGCGGAAGGGAGAAAAGAGAGACACAGAGAATGCTTGAAAGGAAACAGCTACACAAAATGACCCCTGATTCACAGGCAGTGCCAATCATTGCCACAACGGTTTTTTATTTTTAAAAAACCTACCCAAACCCCCTTTTTTCTTTTTTATATTCTCCCTTTTTCCAGTGGAGGAGGAAGGAAGGAGCGGGAGGCAGGAAGGAGAGTTAATTCTCAACCTAGTGGAAAATGAATCTGACCAAAGCTGGAGCCATTTTCAACAAACCTCTGTCTGAAAAAACTCACACAGCCCTCCAACAGAAAACAAACATGTTCTAAGAGGGAAACTTCTGATTTAACAAACAAAGCATCCCACAGACTGAAAGAAAACACTTTCTCTTACAAATGGTTGGGCAACTGCTGGAGGGTAAAAGTAAGTACCACAAGAACCTGATGTGGGCCACATCCATCCCAGGAGCACAACGTCCTGCTGGTTCTCCAAACCACAGAACATGGGACAGCAGGTGCATGTATGTTTTGGGATGGAGGAGGAGGGGGGGACAGGAGGCCCTCTGCCCACCCCTCAAAGGGCTCACATTGTGAACAACAGAAAAAGTTTAACAAACCCTTAAGCATTCAAAAAGCTCAAATCCTTTGGGACAGCTCCCTAACACTCTGGGCTTAGTATCACGAGATGCAGAGTGTTGTTGCTTAGGTTATGGCCAATGCTGGAGGGCTCTCCCTCAAGGAAAACAGCTTTTTCTTTTTTTACATTCTCCCTCCCAGCATCAGTGCCTCAGGCAGTGTAGGGTCAGCAGTGGCAGACTGGTCTAAGGGGTCAGAAAGAACATCAGCGGTGGCCATCGTAAGTCAAAGTGGGACAACACTTGCAAAGCAATTATCGACCAAAGATTCTTTTCCTATTTTAAAATGAAATCAAAAACCATTTGTTGGGTTAAACAGCATCACGTAAATTTACCCAAAATAATTTCCAACATATACCGTGTTCCTCAGCTATTTTGTGATGAACTCTTCTCTCACTACAACTGAGTTACTCCTTGTACTAGTGAGAGAATGAAGTCTGCCCAGGACTTCTAAGCACTGCTGTCAACGGCTGCTCTCTGTCAACAAAGGCAGCAAAGCCTTCTTCCACTCCAGCACGCCAACCGATTCTGCACAGGCTGGGGTCTTTCTTTTCATGGAGCCACACAGAATGCTCTGGGATTGTGTCCATGAAAACTGGAAAGCAACACTGGGTCCACAGTCTGTTAGAAGTGGAGGCTGGATTCTCACTTCTGCCTCCCTTTTGCAGTTGACTGGCGTTTCTGAAGGGAATATTTCAATGGATCGGCAAATAGGACCCCAGGAATAACAGGGCCTGGGACAATAGGAGCAGCCATAACAGTAGCTGCATATCTAGGCAGAACATTCCGACTCCAACATGCATTAGGAAGCATCTAATATGTTGTTTAAGGCAAAAGTCAGCGGTTCTCAGCACCAGAACAGAGGTAGCCTCTTCCCCTGATAGCATGGCCAAAGGGTTCTGCACACGCGCAGTGCATAGCATCTGGCGCCCATTCACAAAGACTGCCCTGAGAGAATTAATACTGAAGACTAGAGCTATGGCCACAAAATGGGATGGTCACTAAGAGTGAGGGGAGTGAAACTCAAGGAAGCAGCTTTGAGGAAGATGCTTCCTCTTCTACAGAAGGCTGTCCCATCTGCTGTAGCTTGCACTATTCCCAGTGGTAAGGTACAGGGTCTTGACCTATCACAAGCTTCATGATGGCCTTTTAGCAATGAGCAGGGAAAAATTACACTCCAGGTTACTTACAAGACAGATACACACAGTGATCTTTCAAGCCTCCTGCATATGACATTGTCTGAGCTTTGTTTTCCCAGACCTAAACATTTAGGGACAAGACCTAGATGCTTGTAGAAAGACAGAGTGTCCTGGTATCCCAAACCTACCATCAACAGCCTCTTTCCTTGACCCCTCCTTTGCTCTTTCAAAACACAAAATCTCTTCAATCTAGTCCCTCCTTTACAGTGCCAAGCCCAACACAGACAGAAAGGCCTGGCACAGCTATGGTAGGAGATGTATAATTTATGGAAATGTCAAATGGGTGGAGGAAGGGAAAATCCATATTTCTCCTGGGAAAATAAAGAAATTTGAGGGGAAACTGAAATTTAAGTAACTTAAGTTACTTCTTCTCAAACCTCAACTGATTCGCATCTGTTCTGAAAAGATAAATAGCATAATGAAGGTAAGTGCAGGCTTGCATTCTGAAAACTATAAATGCATTTTAGTTTGCACACGCAAAAGTGCAAGTATGCCCAATGTATTTGCATGTGTGAGAGAGGCAAAGATGGAAAAGCTGCTGCTCTGTATATAATGGGAGAATACAGACCTTGGTTTTTGCTATCTGAGACATAGAAAAAACTAAAAGGAACAGAAATTACAAACTGTAGGAATCAAAAGACACTGTAGATTTGGATAGAAATAGTCTCATATGAGCCTCTGATGAACAGAACAGCTTCTAATGCAGAAATGCATCTTGGATCCAGGTGTTGTGTGCCTTTTTGGAATAAACAGGAATTCTACTTGGTGTTGTGTGCCTTCAATTCACTTCTGACCTATGGTGACCCTAAAGCAAACCTATAATGGGTTGTCTTGGGAAGATTTGTTCAAAAAGTATTGAGGCTCACAGGGTGTGAATTACCTACGGTCACCCAGTGGGTTCCATGCCTGAGCAGGGATTTGAACTCTGCTCTCAAGAGTCGTAGTCAAACATTCAAACCACTACACCTCACTGGCTCTCTGTAACTGTCATTGTCTAATACTGGAGATTCTCTTACGTAAAAACATCAATATCACATATTGTGAATGAGTAAATGCTCACTTCTTTAGACACTTTTTGTTCTGCTCTATTTCATTGGATTCCCCCCCTTGCCCCCATTCTCCATAATCTCAATTTTTTTGGAAAATAGCAAAAGAAAAGCCTTCAAGATTGTTCCTTTCACCAGGGCTTCATGTCTTTTAAGGAAGGCCAAGGATCCTGAAGGTTGGAAAAATGATGCAGAAAATTCTTCAAGGATCATGTGTTTTGCTCCTGCCCCACTGTATGCTAAAACAGCATAAAAACAGGGGCTTAGGCAAATGTGATCAATAAGGATACCTACAAGATATTGAGATTTGGTTTCTAGTCTTTAAAAAGGATTGCATTCTTTCATTTCAGAAAGCATCACTAAGATCTCTGCCAGGAGATACAAGGAGGATCAAGATCAAGAAATCATACCAGATCAACAAGGATCTGCAAGACAGCTTGAAAAATCAGGTTGCAAGATCTGGCAAGGTCAGGAGATTCCCAGTCTTCAGCACTGTGGTTTCTACATTTCCCATGCTTATTCAGGAAACACCTCCTCTGAACTGGCAAGGAGGGCAATTGAAAGAACAGGACCGCCTTCCTCTGCAGATGAAGAAATGATTCCCAGAAAGCCACAATGCTCCCAGCCCCACCTTTGTTGAAATCCACCAACCTCTCCCTGCTATGGCAAGAGCAAGCCAGGAAGCTCACTCTCTTGGTGGCAGCTGCTTAGACCCAGATGGACAACTGGTTAACCACTTGCCATGGGGGGCTTTCAGGAATAGAGAGGTAAGGCAACTCTCACTTCCCACATCTGCTCCACACAAAGAACCCCAAGATTCAGTTGACCAACAAATAAGGCCAGAGTCCAGCATTCTGTTCATACACTGGCCACCCTGTTGCCGCCGAGAAATCCTGGAGCTGGGCTGCCACATCCTCCTGCTTATGTTCCCAGCCATGGATATACAGAGGCACACTCTCTCCAGTAATGGGGGGGGGGCACTCATGATGACCTATCCTTGATGAACTGGTCCAGTCTCCTTACAGCCTCTCCAAACTGCCATCATTACATTTTGTGGAGTGAGTTCCACACAATCTGCTGCATGAAGAAGTGATTAAAAAAATGCAAACAGGGAAAGGCAGCGGGCCCTGATGGCTTTC